AGAACACATTATATAAGGAGGAACAAAGAGGAAAGACACAGACTTCTCATCAGAATGAGTGCATGTCAGAAGATGCGGAGCGACATCTTTAAAGTATCGAAAGACAAAAAGTCAATCTAGGATTCTATTCCCATCTTTCAGAAATGGAGGCATAAGAAAGACTTTTTAGACGTACAGAAGCTGAAAGAGACCATCACCAGGAAACATCAACTATGGAAAATGTTAAAGGGCCTTCTTCCAACAGAAGGAAAGTGATACCAGATGGAAATTTGGAGGCACACAAAGAAATGAAGACTATTGGAGATGGTAAACATGGGTCAATGTGAAAGGCTTTTTTTCCCCTTATTTAAAAAATTTTCTTAAAATATGTTTCATCACGTAAAGAAAAACACTAACCATGTTGTGGCGTTTATGGAAAATATATGACAGAACTAGTACAAGGCCTAGGAGGGGACAAATAGAAACATAAGATCCTTTTTATTTTAAATTTTTTTATTAAAAGATTTCTGCAATGTTTATTTTTGAGAGAGAGAGAGACAGAGACAGAGTGCGAGTGCGGGAGGGACAGAGAGAGAGGTGAGACATAGAATGTGAAGCAGGCTCCAGGCTCTGAGCTGTCAGCACAGAGCCCAATGCAGGGCTCGAACCCACAAATCGTGAGATCATGACCTGAGCGGAAGTTGGATGCTTAAGCAACTGAGCCACCTGGGTGGTCCTCTTTTTTTTTTAATGTTTGTTTATTTTTGAGAGAGAGAGAGCGTGCACACAAGCTGGGGAGGGGCAGAGAGAGAGAGAAACAGAATCCAAAGTAGGTTCTGCGCTGTCAGCACAGAGCCAGATACGGGGCTTGAACTCATGAACCGCGACTTCATAACCTGGGCCAAAGTCAGTTGCTCAACAGGCTGAACCACCCAGGTGCCCCTGGAAGCGTTAAGATTCTTTCACTCTCTATAAAGTGTTACAGTGTCGCTTGGAGGTAGACTGATAAGTTAAAGCTGTTTACTGCAAATCTTAGAGCAACCACATGTTCGGGCACACACACACATTACCTGAGTTATAGATAATAGGCGAACAGAAGGGTTAAAGTGGAATCATAAAAATTGTCAGAGAGCCATTTGTCAAAAGAAGGTAGAAGAGGAAATAACGGATGGACAAAACCAAACCCAAATAGCAAAGTGGTAGATTTCAATCCAATCATATCAGTAATCACATTAAATGTAAATGGTCTGAACTCCCTAATTAAAAGACAGACATAACAAGCAGTCCTAAATTATGTGTTACCAATAAGGCATGCACTTTATTTATTTTTTTTTTTTTTACTGTTTTTATTTACTTTTTAGAGAGAGAGAGTGGGAGAGGGGCAGAGAGAGAGAGAGAGAGAGGGAGACACAGAATCCGAAGCAGGCTCCAGGCGCTGAGCTGTCAACACACAGCCTGATGCGGGGCTCAAACCCACAAGCCGTGAGATCATGACCTGAGCTGAAGTCGGACGTTCAACTGACTGAGCCACCCAGGTGTCCCAGGGCATGCTCTTTAAATATAACGATAAAAATCAGTTAAAGGTAAAAGGACAAAGAAGTTATACCATGCTGATACTAATCAAAAGAAAACTGATATCAGATAAAGTAGAATTCAGAGTTAAGAATATTGCTGGGGATAAAGACTCTCATTTGATAATGGTAAGACACCGATTAAGATGACATAAGGATTCTAAATGTTTATGCACCTGACACGACAGAACTTCAAAAATGTATGAGGTCAAAGCTACAGAACTGCAAAGAAAAATAGGTGATTCTGCAATTATTGTGAGAAATTTCAGCACTGCTCCCTCAATAATTGATGGAACACAGAGAGAATCTGTAAGGATACAGAAAACTTGAACAACACTTATTGGACTAAATTGGCTACATTGACGTTTGTAGAACACTCCACCGGACAACAGAATACACATTCCTGTCTCGTGTACACAGAACGTATACCAAGAGACCATATTGCAAGCCATAAAACAAGTCATGATGAATGTAGAAGGATTAAACTCGTACAACGTAGGCTGTTTATTGACTACGGTGGAATTAGATGAGAAATCAATAACAGAAGTATCTCTGGAAAATTCCCAAATATTTGGAAACCAGATAGCATACTTCTGAATAATCTACGTGCAAAAGTAGAGGTCAAAAGACGCAGTATCGTAAACTGAAAAAAAAAGAATGCACAACTTTGCAAAATGTATGGGAAGCCGGTAAAACAGTACTTAGAGGAATGTTTATAGGACTAGAAGTGCCTAAATTAGAGAAGAGATCTCAAACCAATGATTTCAGCTTCTATGTTAAGAGACTAGAAAAAGAAAAATGAAAACCAAAGTAAGCAGAATAAAAAAATAAAGATTGCAGTAGAAAATAGAAAACCACAGTGAAAATAGCATCCAACGCTAATTCTTTTTTCTTCATGATTAAAAATGTATTTATTTATTTATTCACTTATAATTTACATCCAAGTTAGTTAGCATATAACATAGTACAATAATATTTTCAGAAGTAGATTCCAGTGATTCATCTCCTATGTATAACACCCAGTGCTCATCCCAACAGGTGTCTTCCTTGATGCCCCTTCACCATTTACCCCATCAGCCCCTCCAGCAACCCTCGGTTCTCCATATTTAAGAGTCTCTTATGTTTTGTCCCCTTCCCTGTTTTCATGTTATTTTTGCTTCCCTTCCCTTATGTTCATCTGTCTTGTATCTTAAAGTCCTCATACGAGTGAAGTCATATGATATTTGTCCTTCTCTGACTGACTTACTTCGCTTAGCATAATACCCTCTAGTTCCATCCATGTTGTTGCAAATGGCAAGATTTCATTCTTTTCGATTGCTGAGTAATACTCCATTGTATATATATACCATATCTTCTTTATCCATTCATCCATTGATGGACCTTTGGGTTCTTTCCATACTTTGGTTATTGTTGATAGTGCTGCTGTAAACATTGGGGTGCATGTGCCCCTTCGAAACAGCATACCTGTATCCCTTGGATAAATACCTACTAGTGCAATTGCTGAGTCATAGGGTAGTTCTATTTTTAACTTTTTGAGGAATTTCCATACGATTTTTCACAGTGGCTATACTAGTTTGCATTCCCACCAGCAGTGTAAAACAGAGCCTCTTTCTCCGCATCCTTGCCAACATTTGTTGTTGCCTGAGTTGTTCATGTTAGTCATTCTGATAGGTGTAAGGTGGTATTTCATTGTGGTTTTGATTTGTATTTTCCTGATGATGAGTGATGTTGAGCATTTTTTCATGTGTCTATTGGCCATCTGGATGTCTTCTTTGGAAAAGTGTCTATTTTGCCCATTTCTTCACTGGATTATTTGTTTTTTGAGTGTTGAGTTGGTAAGTTCTTTATAGATTTTGGATACTAACCCTTTATCCAATATGTCATTTGCAAATACCTTTTCCCATTACGTCGGTTGCCTTTTAGTTTTGTTGATTGTTTCCTTTGCTGTGCAGAAGGTTTTTATTTTGATGAGGTCCCAATAGTTCATTTTTGCTCTTAATTCCCTTGCCTTTGGAGACGGGTTGAGCAAGAAATTGCTGTGGCTGAGGTCGAAGAGGTTGTTGCCTGTTTTCTCCTCTAGGGTTTTGATGGTTTCCTGTCTCACGTTTAGGTCTTTCATCCATTGTGAGTTTATTTTTGTGTATGGTGTAAGAAAGTGGTTCAGTTTCATTCTTCTGCATGTTGCTGTCCAGTTCTCCCAGCACCATTTGCTAAAGAGACTTTTTTCCATTGGATACTCTTTCCTGCTTTGTCAAAGATTAGTTGGCCATCCATGTGTGGGTCCACTTCTGGGTTCTCTATTCTATTCCATTGATCTGAGTGTCTGTTTTTGTGCCAGTACCATGCTGTCTTGATGATTACAGCTTTGTAGTAGAGGCTAAAGTCTGGGATTGTGATGCCTCCTGCTTTGGTTTTCTTTTTCAACATTACTTTGGCTAGTTGGGGTCTTTTGTGGTTCCATACAAATTTTAGGATTGTTACAAACGTATATTCTTATTTTTCCCCCATTTTACTCAAAACGTGGCTTACTTGAAAAATAATGGTCAGCCTTATGCTTTCTTTACCTTTAACATATCTTGAATATCTTATATTAGTAGAGTGCTTTCTTGGCCTCTTTTGTTTTTTTGTACAGTTGAAAACTATGTCTCATTGTTTGGGCATATTATAATTTATTTGCAAAACCCCCCACCGGAGGACATTTCTTTGGATTTTCCTAAGCATTTGCTATTGCAACCAGTGCTACAGTTAGTATCCTGGTATATGTGTCATGTTGAACACGTGTGCAGAGTGTGCAAAGTGTATCTCTGTGATCAATTCTCCAAGTGGAATTGCTAGATCAAAGGGTATATGCATGTGTAATTTTGATATAAGATTGCCCTCTGTCGGTATTGTAGCGTCAGATGTTATTAATGAAAACTAACACTGGTATTTGAAATACTCTTTAAAAAAGAATATTTAGTTAGTTTTTTTTTTTTTTTTTTTTTTTTTTTTTTTTTTTTGCATTCTTTGCTGAGGTAGAGTAGTTATATTGTAGGTTGTCTGAATTTTGGGAAGAGTAATAAGACTGTTCTAGATCATTGGTTTCCACTATTGGCCAAAGACCCTGAAGGGGTCATATGCTAAACTAACATCAACTGTATAGAAAATACTACCTCACACATGAATGCTATATATTTCAAATGTGCATAGATGCTGTTGTATTGAATAAAATGCCAGTGCATTTAAGAACGTTGCTGAATTCTTAGTTCAGCTAATAACGGCTCAACATCTTCTCAGTGGTTCCATTATTTTAGGTGACCTTTGGATTTTGGTGGCATGTTAGCTTCATTTTGTGTTCTATTGACCTTTTCAAAGTAGCTTAGTCTGGAGGTCTAGGAGAACAGAGCAAAAGACTATGCATATACTATGAGTGTCTATTTGAATATAATAAAAATAATATTTCTTTTATAGATATTCCTTTGAGGACCAGCCTGCCACCACCATTCAGAAATTATAAATACGGTAACTAATTTTTCGTATTCTTTAAAAGTGTATATTAATGTAGTTTCACATTAGTTTTACGTTGCTAGCAATTTGAATTTGGTTTTTATTTTTTTTTTAATTTTTTTTAAACATTTATTTATATTTGAGACAGAGAGAGGCAGAGCATGAACAGGGGAGGGTCAGAGAAAGAGGGAGACACAGAATCTGAAGCAGGCTCCAGGCTCTGAGCTGTCAGCACAGAGCCCGACGCAGGGCTCGAACCCACGGACCGTGAGATCATGACCTGAACCGAAGTCGGACGCTTAACCTACTGAGCCACCCAGGCGCCCCTGAATTTGGTTTTTAAAAATTAGTTTACTATCTGTAAATAAAAACCAATATGGAAGTTTATTTAGAGATCTAGGAATCCTGGTGTATCATTAAACTGTAATTGTGTATGAAAGTGGCCTATTTATGAGGAATAAATAGCATATTTGGCAAACCATGTCTAAAATGAATTTCTTGGGGCGCCTGGGTGGCTTAGTCGGTTAAGCATCCGGCTTCGGCTCAGGTCGTGATCTCGCGGTTTGTGAGTTCGAGCCCCACGTTGGGCTGTGTGCTGACAGCTCAGAGCCTGGAGCCTGCTTCGGATTCTGTGTCTCCCTCTCTCTCTGCCCCTCCTCCGCTCATGTTCTCTCTGTCTTTCAAAAATAAATAAACATTAAAAAAAAATTAAAAATTAAATGAATTTCTTTGTAAGGTAACCCGAAAAGAAAAGTGATTAAAGACTGGGAATTAAAAGAAGAGATTAAACATTAATTTAAATGCCAGTAACTTGTGCATATTACCTAGCAGTTTTGTATGTTGCAGTGTTGTTTAAAAATGTAGTAATGAGGCAGGAAGTTGGGTTTCATTATTTGGTAAAAAGATGGCATGGTTATTAACCTTCAGCAGAATGACACTCATCAAACTTTGAGTCTGAGACTTCACTTGAAAATTATGACGCACCTAATAAATATTTCTGTTAATTGGTACAGACATTTTTTGAAGTATAAATTTTTTATTACCTTAGATCATTTTTTTTGGAGTGGCTTTTAATTCTGTTCCCATTTGGTAGAGCAACTTATGACCTAAAATACTTTGAAATCACAATCTTCACCGTGTGTATGCATTTTAATATCCAGAGACTAATTGTGATGTCATAAGGGGTAGTCAAGCAGAAGTTGAAGGCGCTGAGTGGAAAGTACTTTGATTTATTGGGCTTAAAGAATTTACATACTAAATATTGAATAAGAGAAAGGAATAAAAAAGCATGGTTAAGTAAATATGAAGCTTCTCATTTCTGGCTTTCATGGCTTTCAGAGTATAATCACTTGCAATATAACCTTAAACTTGAATCAACCTACAAATGCCGTTTCCTTTTTTGCATGGTGCGTGCGTGCCTCTGTGTGTGTGTGTGTGTGTGTGTGTGTGTGTGTGTGTGTGTGTATGTGCATGCATATGCATACATACTCAAACTTGTGTTCCATGTAAGTTATTTTGAAAAATAACTTTTAGATACTGGCATTAGAATGTCTGACTGTTAATCATCATGGTGGTAGATCATGTGCCTTTTATATTTTTCCACCTTTTTAACACTGCTTTGTTCTAGGATTTGTGTACTATTTAGGTGAATTGGCAGAAGAAGTGAATACATTTATCTGTGAAATTAGAAACTAGAGAACTAGGGTTTTGATAGACTTCCAGGGACTTAGTAACTCAGTCTGGGTTTGGCTTTGTAACAATCTGCTGCTTTGTGTTCACTAAGAACAGCCAAACATTACTTTCTCACCTGTCATTGTCCTTCGATATTGCTACATACTCTGTGGGAATAGAATCCATTGGGTGATGGGGAGTGGAAAGGGTGCAGAGTCAGACTTCCACTCTGTTGGTTGCGGTCTTTGTGCCCTTGGGCAAAGGGCTGGCTCACTCGACTTGAGAGTCTGAGATTTCTCATGGGCTCTTCTCCCATTTAATTGTCATCTACATCTATTATTGATTTATCCTGACCAGACTGTGTGTTCTTTTTTTTAAAAAAATTTTTTTTTTCAACGTTTATTTATTTTTGGGACAGAGAGAGACAGAGCATGAACGGGCGAGGGGCAGAGAGAGAGGGAGACACAGAATCGGAAACAGGCTCCAGGCTCTGAGCCATCAGCCCAGAGCCCGACGCGGGGCTCGAACTCCCGGACCGTGAGATCGTGACCTGGTTGAAGTCGGACGCTTAACCGACTGCGCCACCCAGGCGCCCCCAGACTGTGTGTTCTAAAGCACATCGGATGCTGTCTTATTTTTAAATCCTTGTCACCTAGACACTGTGCATGTGTGTAATAAATATTGGTGGCTGTGCAGCATGGAGCTTCTAATACTGTTGTTTCATGAGGCTGTGTGAGATTAAACAATGTTCGTGTGAACACGTCAAATACCTAACAAGTTTTTTATTTTTATTTTTATGAGGTTATGTTCCTCAAGGAATTTCCATTAAGGGTGCAATACCCATAGATGTTGTTTCTGTTAATAATGCAGATATTTTGGGGGGTACTTGGGTGGCTCAGTCGTTTAAGCATTCAACTTCAGCTCAGGTCATGATCTCGTGGCTTGTGAGTTTGAGCCCCACGTCGGGCTCTGTGCTGACAGCTCAGAGCTTGGAGCCTGCTCCAGATTCTGTGTCTCCCTCTCTCTTTGTCCCTCCCCTGCTTGGGATCTGTCTCTGTCTCTCTCTCAAAAATAAATAAACATTAAGAAAATTTAAAAAAATAATGCAGGTTTTAAACATTTTTTAATTTTTAATTTTTAAAAATTGTTTAATGTTTATTTTTGAGATAGAGACAGAGCATGAGTGGGGAAGGGGCAGAGAGTGAGGGAGACATAGAATCTGAAGCAGGCTCCAGGCTCTGAGCTGTCAGCACAGAGCGCGACGCAGGGTTCGAATTCATGGGCCGTAAGATCATGACCTGAGCCAAAGTCAGACGCTCAACCGACTGAGCCACCCAGGCGCCCCAATGCAGGTTTTTTAAAAAAAAGAAGTAAGAACAAGTGAAAAAAGATTGTTTAACAAGAAAGGGACATTATTATTAATATAGTATATTTTGCTAGCTTGTTGTTTCTTATCACATCTTACCCGTTTCTGTTGGAAAAATCTATAAATTTCTGTTCACGTTATTTCTTCTTCTGCTAAAAAACATATAGCCCTCTTATTATGGGTTTGCAGAACCCATTAGAACAAAGCTATTTGTAATTTAAAGGCTCATTAGCAAAATATATAGAACATAATTAATATTTGGTAAGACCAAACTACAGTTTTGCATATTGATTGTAACAGGCTTTAAGTGGGATTCTTTTTTTTTTTTAATTTTAATGTTTATTTATTTACTTTTGAGAGATAGAGAACACACATGTGTGCACATAAGCGGGGGAGGGGCAGAGAGAGGGCGGGAGAAAGAATCCGAAGCAGGCCCCAGGCTCCGAGCTGTAAGCACAGAGCCTGACCTGGGGCTCAGACCCACAAACCATGAGAACATGACCTAAGCCGAAGTCAGATGCTTAACCAACTGAACCCTAAGCAGGATCCTTTTACTTAAAAAACTGTTACTGGCTTTTCTAACTTGTCTCTAATAATAAACCAGTATCTGTCCATAGTGAGAAAAAGAGAAAAGGGAACTTGGAATAATAGGTAATCCAAAAGCTAATTTGTTTATTTTCTTGTGTACCTTATAAGCTTATTTTTAGCAGTTCTGGTATATTTACATTCCTAATACTCAGTTTTCACTTAGATTTAGTTTTAGTTCTTAACAATACATAGAGTTTTAGGATTAGGCTGACCTTGTATTAAAAATTGCAATTGATAATTGAAAGCTGACTTTAAAATAATGGGTAACTCTGAGTGCTGGTTCTTAACTGGATAGCTACCCTATTCTTTTGTGTTATTAGAACAGAGTTAAATCAGGGCCTGTTTTTTTAAAGTAGATCCTTTTGTTTTACTATTGGAATTCCTTATGGAATCAAACGGCATGATTGATAGAAATAAATTTTAGTTTAAGCTTAAGAGTTTATCCAGATATAATAATACATGTAATCACAATACACTAATTAAATGGTGAAATAAAACCAAGTGAAGAATTGGAAACTTTGTGACTTTAAGCCTGTTGAATGCTGAGCCTATTTATAGTTAAGAGGTCATTGTTACAGAGTCAGAATTTGCCCAATGCGGAGAAATTACTTCTTGGAAAAGCACAGTGTGGCCTGACTTCAAGGTAAACAGATTAAAGAGTGAAGGAGGATTGAATAAAGCAGATTAGATGGTGTGAGCCTGTGCATCATTTGAAAACCAGGAGGCAAATACTGGTACTCTTTGGGCATTAGCAGCCTTGGCCAGATTACCAGGGTGATCCTTTGACCTCCTGCCACTTGTATGCATTCTGAGAGCCGGGTAGATTGTTTTGAACTGCTTATGTTAATGTCCGATCATTTTTTTTACATTATTTGCTCGTCGTAGCATTCTGCAAGTCCCCCCAGGAACAAGACAGAGTGACATGATCCATCTGGCTCCTGTTCTAAGGGGAAGGTGTGCCAAGGTGACTGCTGGTTACGGCATATAGTTGTGTGTGCCAAAGGCCACGGCTTTCAGATATCGTTAAACACAGTGATCTTTAATGGCCTATAGTGGTGCTTTTTCTTCTACTGCACTACATTTTTAAGTGAACTGGTCGTAAGGCAAGGACGTAAGTTTCTCAGTTCTGTAGCTGTATCTTTCCATTGCAAATTGTTAAAATGAAGTTTTAAAATAATCTTTGTAAAAATACTTCTTTCTTTCTTTCAGATAAACTAAAGATTGTTCATCAAGCACATAAATCAAAGGTACGTTTCATATGTACGGCATCTGGCACGTAGAAAGTAATCGCTGTCGGCTGTCTCAGTGAATAAGGGAACAAACACATGCACTCCTAAAATATTTTCCATTATAGTAGCATTTTTTTATTTCATAAGTACCCTTCCTACAGCCTTACTTTTCCATTAAGGGAAAAAAAAAAAAAAAAACCTCACCAAGTCATATCCCTGTGAGTAGTAGATCTTGTTAAAAAGTGTTAATTTTTAAAAAAGCATACATGGGGGCGGCTGGGTGGTTCATTTGGTTAGGAGCCCGACTTCGGCTCAGGTCATGATCTCACGGTCCGTGAGTTCGAGTCCCGTGTCGGGCTCTGTGCTGACAGCTCAGAGCCTGGAGCCTGTTTCGGATTCTGTGTCTCCCTCTCTCTGACCCTCCCCCGTTCATGCTCTGTCTCTGTCTCAAAAATAAATAAACGTTAAAAGAAAAATTTATAAAAAAGCATACATGTTATTTTTTTTTAATATTTATTTATTTATGTAAAGAGCGAGTGCGTGAGCCAGCATGAGCAGGGGAGGGGCAGAGAGAGAGGAAGAGAGAGAGAATCCCAAGCGGGGCTCAAACTCATGAACCGTGAGATCACGACCTGAGCCAAAATCAAGAGTCAGATGCTTACCTGAGCCACCCAGGCATCCCAAAGAATACATGTTCTATATCAAGCGAATATTTAAAATAAAATAAACATAAGCATAAAACTTGGTAAAGTAAATTTAGGTTACAAAAAAAAAAAAAAAAAAAAAAAAAAAAAAAAAAAAAAGAGGAAACCACTTGTTATCTGGCAGTTCAATATCTTTGATTTTCTTAATTGTATACCAGAAGAAAAGAGCCAAAAGCAGGTAAAAATAATTTGCTTTTTCTGACCTATCTCTTTCTGTGTGTAAGAGAAGGTCCAGGACTCTGGCTCTTGGGAACATGCCTTCAAGTTGCACACAGGGCATGGCCTGCAGTCTTAATGGTATCTTACCTGCTTGGAGAAAGCTGTTTATTTATCATGTGTTTACATGTCTGTTTTCTTACTTTTTTAGAGTAATGTATTTATAAAGCCACAATCAAAGATTTGCTTCTCATACAGGCTAAAGCGATCTTTTTTCTTGAATGTCAATGACTTTGTATCGACTCCTCATTAAAGCTGTAACCTTAGTCTATTATACAAACTAGTCAAGGATGAGGGACCATAATCTGTTCTTCATATCTCCAATATCTAGCACAATGCCTCATTCATAAGAGTGTTTTTATAACAATTTAAAAAAATTTGTTATGTTTATTTATTTTTGAGAGTGAGACAGACAGAGGGTAAACTGGAGAGAGACAGAGAAAGAGGGAGACACAGAATCCAAAGCAGTCTCCAGGCTCTGAGCTGTCAGCCCAGAGCCTGATGAGGGGCTCGAACTCACAGACCACAAGATCATGACCTGAGCCGAAGTCAGATGCTTCACCGACTGAGCCACCCAGGCACACCATTGATTTTTGAATTAAGTATTTATTTTTGAATTCACCTAATTTCATTGTCTTCTCTAGTCATAGATGCCTACCATAAACTCAGCCTTCAAATAAATGTATACCAGACATTACAAAGAAAATGGCATCAGGGTATGGCTATCAATTGTGAATTAGTACCTTCAAAAAACATTTGTTTTTTTCTTGTAGCTTAAAATAACACACATTTATTCTCTTCTAGTTTTGGAGGCCAGAAGTCCAAAATTAGTTTCACTGGGCTAAAATCAAGGTGCTGGTGGGACTAGTTCTTTCCAGTAATTTTACTTTTTTATACCACGGATTATATGTACCAATTTGACGTTACCCCTTGTCAGATGCTTTAAAATTCAGTGCCACATGTGTCCGGGCTGCGGTGTGGAATCTGCACTTTGTGTGAGTGCTAGAATGTCCCTCCACTATGGCCGCCGACTTCATTCTTTTTCTGGGACAGGAGGGTTTACAACCTTGTCTCTAAAATGTGGAGAATAGGAAGTTTGGGCTTGTCGTAGAGGGAGAAAAATATATACGTATACATATATGTGCGTGTGTGTGTATACATACATACATATGTACATGTATACATATGTGTGTATACATACATATGTGCATGTATACATACATATGTATACATACATACACGCACATATATATATAATAAAGTTATAAGGAAACAATATGCTCTTTGAAAAGGTTGTGAAATAGAGTGATGTCATTCTCCATTCAGTGTTGCATTTTTACATTGTTGGACTTGTCCATATGATCGTACGATTAGGTACAAAGACCTGATTCATAATATTCAAATACTCAATATCATGACATTTAAAAAAAAATCAGGAAATTTTCCTCTTGTAGTTGGAAATCTATTAGAATTGTTTCTTATGTTAAAAACGGTTTTTAAGTTTATTTATTTTGAGAGAGAGAGAGTGGAGCAGGGGCAGAGAGAGAGAGGGAGAGAGAGAATCCTGGGCAGGCTCCATGCTGCCAGTGCAGAACCCACCATGGGACTTGAACTCATGAACTGTGAGATCATGACCTGAGCCGAAACCAAGAGTCTGATGCTTAACCAACTGAGCCACCCAGGAGCCCGTTTCTTATATTTAAAACACATGTTCCAACCTGGCATGTTAGAGTTATACAATTAGAGCTTATCTTTCCAGTTGAACAATGTCTTTATTTAAAGAAATAAAGTTGCGTTAGAATGTTTCTGGAATCTGGCTTTATAAATTTTCATCTAAGCCATAACCATTCTAGTTAAGTACAGACTATACACCCCAGGGATGGTTCTTCCACGTTTACTCTTCAGGAAAAGGGTTAATATATTTTTATAGATACAGATTTAAAACTTAAGAAAAACTTTACCCCAAAGCCCTCATTTGTGCTTTATCCAGATTCCAGTCATTTTTCTCATTTCCCCATCTGCATTCTGTTTTCCGTTTTCTGTTCCTCGTCTGTGGGGCTTGTAAAGCAACCCTGGACCAGCGACCAGCCCATCAGTTTTCCAACAACCCAGCAACCCAGCTGTAGTTTTAGTCTCCTTCCTCAGCCAGAGGAAGAGACTTCCAACTGTCTTAATGACCTTGATCACAAAGGCATTTCCCCCATTTCCTCAATTTTCTACTTTTAGAGACTTCTTAATTACCAGGTATCTACAGAAATTTCTTCCCACTATTACAATGAAACCATCTGGATACCTTCCTGTGAGAGCCTCCTGTTTGGAGGAGTCTACTGTTTGGAGCTCACAAGCTCAATTTTTTGTTTTTTGTTTTTCCCAATGTTTATTTATTTTTGAAAGAGAGAGAGACAGAGCACGAGCA